TGGCCAGCGGAGCCGGATGGCTGGTGGCCCCAGTCGCCACCATGCACAAAGAACTGACTAGCCCCTCTTTGATAGCTCACCTGTCCGGGTAGAGCGTGGCATGGCGGACCGATGGCTGCCCCAGTCGCACATGCAAAAAACTGACTAGCCCTCTTTGATAGCTCACCTGTCGGGTAGAGCGTGGCCATGGCGGAGCCGAGTGGCGTGGCCCCAGTCCGCACCATGCCACAAAGAACACTGCCCTCTTGTGATAGCTCACCTGTCCGGAGAGCGGTGCCATGGCGGAGCGGATGCGTGCCCGTCGCGCATCCATGTGACGAAAGAACTTGGGGATGAGCCTCGTGTTGGATAAGCCACCTGTGCGGGTAGAGCGTGGTCCCATGGCGGAGCCGATTGCGCGTGGGCCAGTGGCGCACCATGTCACAAAGAACTGAGCTAGCCCTGCTTTGATAGCCTCACCGTCGGTGAGCGTGGCTGGGCCGTGGCTGGGCCCAGTCGCCAACGAATCAGCAAGAACTTGACTGGGTCCCTCTTGATTAGCTTCTGCTGTCGTGGGTAGGCGTGAGCCATGGCGCGAGCGGATGGTTGGCCCCAGTCGGCCACCGGCATGCACAAAAAGCATGACTAGCCCTCTGTTGAGGGTGCCACCTGTCCGGTAGAGGCGTGTGGCCATGGCGAGGCCCGATGGCGTGGCCCAGTCGCCGCCGTGCACGAAGGAACGCTTTGGCCCAGCGCTCCCATGAGGGCAGCGGAAGAGCGCGCCCATCTGCGCCGGGCCCAGCCCGCTTGCCGCGCCCTCCGAGAAGCCTAGCCGGGCAGGCGACCGGCGCCACCACCTCGAACACCGAAGCCCGCGCCCGGCCGCGCCGCCGGTCAGCAGCGGGATGAAGCTGTAGAAACTTCGCGACGGAGCCCGGCCAGCCGTGCAGCAGCAGCAGCGGCAGCACGCGCGCTCCGCCGGCACTTGGTTTCGGCTTCGCGTGGAATGAAGCTGCAGCTGCAGCCGCCACCTGCGTCTTGAACTGCGGCCAACGCGTTGAGGAAGCCTCGCGCTCCGCCCACTTGTACTTCGTCCCGCCCAGAAGCTCACCAACCTGCTGCAGGTAGCGCGAGTTGAACCGTAGCGGAAGTTGGCGCCGCCAGGGGCGGCGTGAGCGCTGGCAGGGTGCTGGCAGGCTGGTGGCGCAGGTTCCTGCAGCTGGGCGGCGGTCCGCGCTGATCTTGAAGCACGACGGCGGTTTGTCGGCTGGCGAGGGCCGGGGCCCAGTGCTGTGCGGCAGGTGGGCGGAGGGCGGGTTGCGAGGAGTAGTGCCACAGACCGCCTACTGCCCAGCAGCTGCCAGCGCCCCCACAAGCGACAAGACGGCGCCCGTCGTCAGCGCCGCGCGAATCAAACCCATGCTGACACAGTCTCCGTCACCTGTCACACGTAAATATCTTGCTTAGTCTTTGTTACAGACTCCGCCTCCAGCAAAAGTCTCTTCCATAAAGTCCATTTACGACATACTGAGCGAACGGCCACCGAGGTCACCTAAAGCCGCTGTTGCCCAGAAACGTGAGTTTTTTTAAGCTAGAAAATTAAGTGCATGCACAGAAATACAGTTATTATCATACCATTAGAAAACTACCATGGTCGTGACGAACGCGCAGAAATTGATCAACTGAACTGATCAATTGATATTGGTCAAGATTTATTTGCACAGATTTAAAAATGCCATCCAGATATAAACAGCGATGTAGTGTATATTACTACATTCCATGTCCCACAGTAAATTAGAATCACAGTGTAGCAACAGCGCGGGTCTACGTCAAGCTGGCTCTATATGGGTTAAACGTTTCAACAACTAGAACCATTGGCTGACGCACCCAGGTTCACGAGAGGGCCACAGAGTGGCAATTTTGAGAAGGGGCTTGGAATGTTTGCTTCATATTTAGTTGAATTTGATACAATACCTGATTTTCATTTAAAATTGATATTTCCCTTTTGTGTTTACTATAAAATCTAGTCAACTTTGCAAAAAAGAATGACTATAACATTTTCCTTGAATAAGTATTTAACGTTTATTGAGATCTTCAGCAATAATCTATTTTTGAGGACATTTATGATTGCAAAAACCTGTACTTTCTAAGCAGAAGTGGTTCAACTGATCACAATTTCAATTTTTTCCCTTTTATACTGTTCGTACAATTGTTCCAAATACATCTGATTTTCTATTGTTCTAACTGTGGGGAATTTTCTTCACAAATTCATCTATTTTATAATTGAAAAGAACCTTGTGTATTCTTTATTTAGTCTTTGTTGGTCACTTATGGTGCTGCCGGGACGTTCCCGCTCTCAAATTACCTTGATTGACTACGGCCGCAGTGGTGTCGAGTGGCGTGGCCGCGTGACCCGAAGGCGGGCAGACCATGCCCACCCATGGTCGCCATGTACTGAGCCGTCACTAGCACAATCCGATGTTGGCCACGAAATTCTTTTACAGATCTTATTGGTTTGTTCTGACGAAATATAATAATTATAAACTGAGTTACTGAAGGTGTTCCTGTTACTGGCTTAATTTAGTTCACCGGAGGGCTTAGGAATATCTGTAGACCACACCAATTTTTCGATATTCGTGTAGGACCGAGCACATATTCTTACATATTCTTCAATGTCCGTCCTATTATTTCTCACGCTAAGTCTTCCGTTTTTATCTCTTCTGCATCAATAGCGTCGGTGGCGCAAACAGAGGAGTCATTTCTCTATGGAAGCTGTCAGCAACACTTTCACTTTAGTCAATTTCTCCAGCGATAAAAACCAATGTTGTACACGTTCCAATCTCGAACATAATTTTCTTCATATCAGGGATTGTATCATGCAGTTTGAGCAACTGAAGCAAGATCGCAACTTGGGAGTTTTTGCAAAAACTTCATTACAGTTTAAATATATTGTTCAGAGAGAACGGTTTCATAAGCAATAAAGAATGAAAAACTGATCGGGTCACTGTAAAATATGGTGCTACAGGAACAACGTTTGGCATACAATTCGGTAGTTTTCACGGCACACAATTCGTTTCCAGTTTGCCTGGAGGGGCGCCACTCGTTCTTGCACTTTGTGCAGGAAAGCGACGCCGGACACACGCCCGGGCAATTGCACGTCTTGGAGCTCGGGGAAAGTGTAGGATTAAACATCTCTGGCAGTGGTGTTGGCAATAACAGAAATACTATAGGAGGCAACTGTAAAGGCCAAGCCAGATTCAACCAATGCCACGATTAATTAGTAAAATCGAAAATTATGATTTCTGACGAAGAACATTCGTTATAATACACAATTATTTTGTGAAAAATGAATGAACAAAGGTAATAAAGTAACAAAACTACGATCGTCTGGGGAGGACAACCTAAAAGAGAAAACAGCTCCCCGCGATCTTACCGTGGGAACTGAAAACGCCTGTGCAGTCAGGCTGCGCGCATGTATGTGCGATTTCTAGGAACGCAGTGGACCTGATCTTTGATCGCACACACTTAACACACGCTACTGTAGTTCTAGAACGCACTGTATCTAAGCTACTATAACAAACACTTGAGGAACTAAATTTAACTATTGAACGTGGCAACAATCGCAAATGAGAAAAATTTAACCTGGTGGCCCCTTTAGGGTTTCCCCAAAGATCTGAGATTAAAACCTGTTGCTGATAAAAAAAACAAGTTTGATAATAAATTTAAGGTTTTTGTGTTTTTAAAGACATTCAATCGTGTTCTACTTATAACAGTAATGAATTATTAATACCGGAGTTTGATTTCGTCGCTTAATTTTCGACGAGTTACCGTTAGTGTTACAGTATTACGTAACCATTAATAATACGAGAAAGTATGTTCTGTTTTAACACCATACGTTTTGAAATCTGGTGATGCGTTGTTAGCTCTTCTACTTTACGAAAACGTTACAAGTAAATTGAGCAAAACAACAAACAAAAAACACAGATAGAAAGAAGGTAGTTGACTCAGCAAAACGGGTTGGAAGCACGTATGATTACAGCAGATCTAAGTGCACAGCTTTTCCCATCAAGCTCTGGTGTTCTTCACGCATGCAGTAAAATAGTTGTTAATAATACTAAAACCGGGAGAGATGACTCAGGGCATGAAATGATGTCACTGCAGTCCCTCTGACCGGGAGGTCCTAGGTTCGAGTTCCGACGATTCGAAACTAGCTTGGTCGAATTCAGACGCTGCCTGAAAGAGAATTCTAGAGGACGGCTGTTCTGAACAGACGTCTCCCGTAGTTTTTCTGATGAACATCAGGTGAATGTCGGAGCAGTACCATACCAAACTGACCATGGACGGCGCGCGATATTTCCTACCTCTTCTTTATCCTATCCTCTCCCCTTACACACACACACACACAAACACAAACACACACACACCCATACACACATACATACACACATTCCGGGAGACTGGACAAGAGCTTAGAGCTTGTGCCGGCTGGGGCGGTGTCTCCCAGGTGGAAGATACTTGGTTGTGGAAACCCCCGATAGCCGACGGTAGGTCGGCGCCAGATTTCGCCATACAGCCAGAAAAAGATCACCGCCACCTATTGAGGAAAAACATGCTCTACACTTACGGGACGAATGACCCTGTTAGTTGACGTGCCCGGATTTACTAAAACCGTCTGTTAATAATACTAAAAGCGGTTAATTTTAAACGAACCGAATATCAGGATAGAGTTGTGCAATAATTGCTCTAACTTAATTTAATTATTAAACCAAATAATATATTCTCTTACCTTGTTTATGTAGGAAGGTAAAATTGCATTGTATTCCATAATATTGTTTATCCACGACTTTTGAAATGTAATGTACATGTCAGACGTGTCTATTCGATATTGGATTCCAGTAAGAAGCTATTTTCACCTTTAAAACAATGATTTACTAAGTGAGGAATGTTTTCACGAGTCCAACTAATAGTTTATAAAATAAGCGAATCTTTCAGTAATCAGTAAATCAAGTATGCAATTCGTCATGCCGACAATTTTGAAATTCTAATGAGAAAGTTAAGAACGTATTGCAGGGATACCAATATTAAAATGTTTGAGACACTTTTTAGTGAAAGTATCTGAAAAATACTCCTTTCGAGAAAAATTGATACAACTTTTAACTCTCTATAAAATGATTTTAAATGTAGGAATATACTACCTGTAACTGGTTTCGCCTTACATTTGGTTTATTTGTGATTTTACGTTTGTTATGTGAATTGTGTACATCGTTTCTCAGAATTTTGTTTTATTTTCTCACTCTCCCTGTTGGTATTAGTGAGCGTTCCGTTATCACTAATCAGACTCTAGAGACTTGGTAAACGATATTTCATTACGCAAGTTATCGCTAGACCTTTAACACTACAATGCAAAATTCCTGAAGATATTATAATGACTTGTACCGATTTTTCTTCAATCTTACATCATGTATATGAAATGGAATGGAATGGGAAGAGTGGCCTTTCAGAATGAATTGCTGAGGTGCCCTGTATTGTTTCAGTGGCGCGCGGGGTGCGGTGGGTTGGTGCAGGGCGGGAGGACGGGGGGTAGGGCGAGACAACGAGACCGGCTCTGTAGGATGCACAGGAACAGAGAACACACTACCTCATGGGCACCCGAACGCCATGTAGTGTTTAATGCAGCCAAACAGTAAATAAATAAGCCGCAGCAGCGCGCTCAAATGAGAGTCGTGAACTTTGATGGCACTGATTGGCTCAATTGTTAACCGCTAGCAATGAAATGGTTAAAATTATTCGAAACACTATTCTTAAAACAGATTTCAATCTCTAATTTCATACAAACAAAAAAATGTTTTGGATAAAAATTCAAGAATTTATTGTTTAACAAGTGTCTATTTTATGGGTTGAATATAACATTTATCATATTCCAACTAATGTAACACTGAGTCGAGGCAGTTACGTTTTATAATCAAGACATTGTTGTGGGCCACAGAGGGAACCAGCTCGGCTACAAATTCTTTGAAAAATACCATCAAGTATTATTTATGCTTTATTTTATAAAAAGTAGCGAAAATTTGGCAAAAATCCGGTGTGTCATAGGGGTTTGTAGCACCCCTATACCAGTTATAAATAGTTTCTTTTGTGCTTCTTACTAGTACACAGATCTAACATTTCTAGATAAGTCATGGAAATCTAGTTTAGTCGACACGTGTTCAGTGAGAGTTCATGTTACTTTCATTAATATGGAGATAAAATGCGCAAAAACAAAAGACTATGCAATGTGGACGCGTTACATGCGGTGCTGGGACGAGTTACGGAGACAAAAGACTATTGCGAGGCACAGGAGCGGCCCATCTACGCGTCTGCTCGTTTGCCCGTCCTTCTGCCCCTCCTGTGTCAGTCCTATCCGTCCGTTACCAACGTGTGCAGGATTTTCATCAAAAACTG